CGCCTCGCTCAGCCAGTGAGCGGGAGCCGGTCTGTATGTGGGATCCGAACCCTCGGACAGGAGCGCCGCCGCGCTTCCCAAGCGGCGCACTATCCAGTGCGCCACTGGGCCGGCCCAGGACAGTTTACATATTAAGTACTCTTCAGGAAGTAAGAGTTTGCTTTGAATCACTTAAATTTACCTATCAGAAGTTGTTGCAGGGCCGGCCCGGTGGCGCACTCGGTAGAGTGCGGCGCTTGGGAGCGCAGCGGCGCTCCCGCGGAGGGTTCGGATCCCATATAGAGACTGGTCCGCTCACTGGTTGAGCGCGGTGTGGGTGCGACACCAACGGTTGCAATCCCGTTGCCGGTCGCGGTACAGGCGCAACACCGAGGGTTGCAATCCCGTTACCGGTCACGAAAAAAGACAAAAAGGAAAAAAAAAAAAAAAAAAAGAAGTTGTTGTTGCAATTAATGTCTCAAAGAATTTATATTAAACCTTTTATGGATTTTTAATTGAGTCTTATTGCTAAAATTGGGGAAGTTATTAAATCATTTAGTCTTTCCATGTAGATTACATTTTAAATTTACAGTTGCTGTTAGGAATAAAGTTCCTGAATTAAAACCATTTTTATTTTCCTCTTTTAGGTGTTAATGGAGCAGTTTCATCAAGTTGAATCTCAACTGAATAAGCTAAATCATCTCCTTTCTGATATTCTTGCTGACGTGAAAACAAAAAGAAAAATTTTGGCAACTAATAAATTGCATCAAATGGAAAGAGAATTATATGTATATTTTTTTAAAGATGAAGATTATCTGAAAGATATCGTGGAGAATTTAGAAAACCGATCAAAGATTAATGCTGTTCAAGACTGAAAATTACTAAAAGCCAAATCTTTACTACACCTGCAATGTTTTAATATTCTACAAGTTAGGAGAATATATCTAATAAACACTACCAAATTTTTTAATTTGAGGTCAATGGAACATTTTATTTAATAAATTTTAAGTATTATATCAGTTCAGTTTTTTCCTCATAAGTCATGTTTGTTGTACCAGTGCTTTATATGACTTGGACATTTGCTAGTGGTACTTAGTCCTGGTAAATTTTTACTTATAGGAAAAAAGCATTATTATATAATGCAGGTATTTTTTTAATACAATTATATCTCTTCTTTACTATTTTTTATTAGAAGTAGTAATTCTCTTAAATTTTTTTTAAATGTATAGAAATTTTGAGTCAGCATTTTTAAATTTGTGGACATTAATGTATGAAATAGTCAAGTCCCCTCATATTTAACTGTAAAGTAAAATTCTGCTGCTCAAACATTTCTTCATAATTCCCTGCTGTAGACTTTGAGACTCTTTGAATGTTCCTTCTTGCACCACAGAGTGTGTGTCAGGTTTCCACTGGCCATTGTTCATTTTAGGGGCTGGGTTCTGGGGACTCAAAAGTTTCTGCAGGACGTATCTCAGTGTGCTTTTACTTTAGTGTGACTTGTACATCATAAATGACTTTCAAATAAAATTTGAGTTTCAAAATGTCACAAAAGTGGTTGCTCAAAGGATGGATGATACTATTTTAATCTGTTGCTTTTTTTTTTTTTCGTGACTGGTAACGGGATCGCAACCCTCGGTGTCATGCCCGTACTGCGACCGGCAACGGGATCACAACCCTCGGTGTCGCACCCGCACCGCGCTCAACCAGTGAACAGACCGGTCTCTATATGGGATCCGAGCCCTCGGCAGGAGCGCCGCCGCTCCCAAGTGCCGCACTCTACTGAGTGCGCCACCAGGCCGGCCCTTAATCTGTTTCTTATGAGTGAAAATACTTAAATGTTGGATTGTATTTAATATGGGATATTAGTGTAATTATTTTAAGAGTTGGTATAAAATAATTTGAAGTAGTTTATCAGTTATTACATCAAATGCTGCTTAAGTGCCAAATTTATACATTAAATAAATTTAACATTCCTGTGTTAAATACCGTATGAGCTTTATGTGGAGCCCTCCAGAATATTCTTACCTGCTTATAATATGGAATGCTAATCTAAAAACTATAGATTTCAGGTGGTCATTGTGGAATTTTTTATCTATAACTCAGAAAATGGTCATGCTGAGGTGACAGATGAGCCCCATTAATTTTTGTAATCCATTGAACAAAAATATTTTGCCAATTGTATTTGTGTGTCATTTTAAAATTTATACTTATTAAGTAAACTTTAATATACTTGAAAAATTTGTAGCAATAAATTTTGTCATAAGATTTTGCTATCAGCTCCTCATTTGAGTGACTTTTCTTTTTCCTTTTTTACTTCTCTATTCTATCTTGGGATAGAGAGTTTACTTAAAGTTTTTCTTTTCTCCAGTAATGTAGAGAAATATGTCATCTGGTTTTCCAGTGTATGGTAGCAAATTCTTTTTAAATTGGTTCTGGACATGTTAGATATGTGATCAGTTCTTGCTGGTCTGTACTTCCTCACTCAGACCATCATCTGGTCAGCCCAGGAGGCCATAGGACTGAGCAGTGCAAGGATGGCAGGTTGTATGTCTGCCATAATTACCGAACTCAGTTATAATTATTGTGTTATTATATTTGTATATTTGAAGGTTAATGACAGCTGTTTTTCAAACCTCGGGAGTATTTGAGTAGATTGCTTCAAAATTGGCTAACTAGAAAATCTAAGTTCCTTATCTGTTTACCATGATATCCCAATTGAGCCTCTAGCTATTTCACTTCCTTGCTGCTATCCTATCTGTATTGTGACATGATTGATAACTGTTTCATGTGGTTATTAATATAGACTTTTTAAATGAAAGTCTCAATACATAAATAACTTAGTTGTGTGTCTTATTTTGAAGTCTCAAAATTAATATATAGGTATTTATCTTATGTTAATTTTACATTTAGGGTTTTATGAAAATGGAAAATTATGAGGCATTTGTAGGCTTTGATCTCTGTAAGACACCACTCTCCAGTGTTGCTCAGAAGATTATGTCTGCTATGCGTTCAGATGATGTAGTGGATTCTAAGAATTGGGGAGAGAGTACAAAGAGTAAGTAATTTTTATGAACCTTTTTATCTTTTGTCTTGAATGTTAACTATTCTTAAGACAGAATTAAAAATGAGATGTATGTAGCAAAATTATTCCATAGAACTTTATATTAAGTAGGGAAATTCCATGCCTACAAATGAAGCCCAGCTCTGGTCTCCTTTACTCTTATTCAGTGCTGACTGAGCTTCTGCTCACTAAATTTCATGTTCCCTTAATTGTTACTGCTCTAAAAATGTAATTCTCTCTTCCTTGTTCTAGACATTCCTGTCAAACATTTCCTTAGAATCTGGTTCAGATATTTAAGTATCTCAGGAGAGATGGGTTCTTTCACAGTTTCTCTTGCCTCAATTTTGCCTCTTGGGTCATTGAACCTGCACATAGTGTTTGCTATTGTGTGTGGTGAGCAAGAGAAGTATTTTTGACAATATGTGTATTGTACTGCCATAGAAATGTATAAACCCTTAGGTGGCAAAGATTAGTGGGTCTGCATATGTGTTTATGACATGGACAATAGTAAAAGCAGTGACATATGCTCACAAGTGTGGCTGAAATGTCTGTAGCATTACATTTTTTTTGCTACTGGAAAAGCAGTTTTTATTTTAATTTGCTAGTCTGGGCCAATAATTTGTGATTTGTTTCTTTTCCTACAGAGTAATGATATATAATTGAGTAATTATATTGAGATGAAATAATTGAGACTCTTATCACATATTAGCACAAAAGTGTTATAAACAGTTTCTTGTTTAAGATATAATAGTACAAAAAAAAAGATATAATAGTATTTAACATTTTGAACTATTCATATTCAGGCATCTGTTGCTTGTACACCTTATTATAGTAGAAGTCACTAATAAATGAACCAAGGGGGAATAGGAGGGCTATTTAATAATATTTATCATTAAATTTATTCATCACATTATTCATGATAAGATGAATATTTAAAGTAAATATTTAAACACTAAATAATATTTAATGACAAATGTTATTATTATTAATGATAAAGTGAATATTTAAACACTAAATATTGTTTGATATTCCCTCTATTCCCCCTAAAACACTATCAATTGCTAGATACATAGTCCACACCCAAACATTCTTACTGGTTCATTTATTATTTTGTGTACATTTTAAAATAGTAGAGCAGTGTGCACTTAACAGAGGTGGAAATATACTTCCCTTTAAAACTTATAAGAATAATGAAATACCTTTGGTAGATATAGCATGAGTCTGTTTAAAACCTTACGGCAATCAGCCCATCTCATTTGAACTCTTGTTATGCTCATAAAATACCCTGTTAAATCCTGATTTTTGTTAAGGTTATTGAGAAGATAATGGAAAAAGATATGATATTACTTTTCTGTCAGGTGTTCTCGGATTTGGAAAAATAGTAGAATTTTCATGAGAGTTCTGTACTATCTATCGCAGCATTACACTATAACTACAAACTTGCTGGCTTAAAATGATGCGTTTATTGTCACATGGTTTCAGGAGCCCGGGCATGGCTCAGCTGGGTCCTCTGCATGGTTGCAATACAGGTGTCATCCAGGGCTGGGGTCTCATCTGACGCTCAGGTGGAAAAGCATTCTTTTCCAAGCTCATAGGGTTGTCTGCAGAATTCAGTTCCTCATAGGCTTTCGGACTGGCTTTGGCTAGATCCCACGCTCAGTTCTTTTTCACGTGGTCCTCTCCACAGGCAGCCTACAATATGGCAGGTTGTGTTTTCAAAGCCAGCAAGAGAGTCTCCCTAGCAAGAGTAACAATACGATCCTATGTAATGTAATCATATACATCCTGTCACCTTTGCTGTGTTCTTTTGGTTTGAAACCAGTCAATAAATTCCACGCACACTCAAGGGTGGTGGGTTACACAAAGTTGTGAATACCAGAAGGAGCAGGGATCATGAGGCCAACTTAGAGTCTTTCCTCCACAGATTCCCACTGGTTTTATTCTTATATCATATGAATCTGAATTAAAGTTGGATTGCTGGCGGGTTGTTGATGAGTGATGCTAGACCTAGAGACTTAATTGAGTCCTAGATTCTTGTTACATACTGAGCTGTTGTTATGTCAAATCCTTATTTCTTACAAGAAAAATATTGTAAGTCAACTTTTCATTTCTGTAAGCCCATTTCATACCAAAACTAAGAAATTAATGGAAATAAACTACAATATTTGCTTTTTCAAGTTAAGTAATCCCAAACAATATTAAACCTGTGGTACATATCACTTTGGAGTCTGATTTTCTGATGTGCTAAACGTATTGAGGTGTTTCAATATAAACATCCAGTACAGATTGAACTGTTATATCTTGAAGTGAGCTTAGATCTTTATTTTAAAAGTCTTTTGCTGTGAAAAAACATTAAAAATGCAGAAACTTAAAATATAACTTAATGAATTAATATGAGAACATGCATGTGACTACCACTTACATAGCCAGCACCTCAAAATTTCCTTCCCAATTAAAACTCTCTCTCTGCTCAGAGGTAACCATTATCCTGACTTTTATGGCAACCACTTCCTAATTGCAGACATATATTGTTCCAAAGAACTTTTTGACAGAGATTACTCTTCCACTACACTGGAACCCATTCTTCCCTTCAGAGGCACACAGTTACACCACATGGCTCAGTCTCGTTGCAATCAAGTATGACCAAGTGGCCAGTTTCCTGTCAATGGGATGGGAACTCAAGTGTGTGCCATTTCCAGGGTAGGTCAAGAGAGCCGCTTTGCTTCCTCTCTGGCCCCTTTCCTTCCCCCCGGTTGGAACCTGAAATGACTCCTCTCCAACCCTGCAAATGCTAAGTGTCCTAGAGGATTGTGGAACGACGTACTGGAAGGATGCTGGCCTCCTGAGTGACTTCATGAAACACCTATACCAGCAGACACCATTCACCTCAGAACAGGAGAGAGAAATCAACATGTTTGTTCTTTAAGCCATTTGTATTGTTGGGTATTCTGTGATTGTAGCTTTGCTTTTCACTCAGAATCGGGTTCATCTGCCTTAAGTTTTTGTTTTCATTTTATTGTTCAGTAATGCTACCAAAAGTCTTTGGTAAATACTAGGGGAGAAGGAGTTATCAGGGTTGTCAGCTGACCTGGTGCCATGTATAGGATTTTGCATGTGGTTAAGCACATATTTATTGAGATATATCTCTGTGTTTTGTCTCAGTACCTTAGTCAGTTTTCTGTTGCTTATAACAGGATACCTGAAACCGGGTAATTTATAAAGAAATGAAACTTCTTACAGTTTTGGAGGCTGGGAAGTCCAAGGTCAAGGAATGCCTCTGATGACGGCCTTCCTTCTGGAGGGGCTCTCTTCTCTGTATGAAGTCACCAGTCTACTCTTATGATAACCCATTAGTCCATCAGTCCATGAATGGATCAATCCACTCATGAGGGCAGTGCATTCACCTTCTAGAGGCCCCACCTCTCAGTACTGCCACATTGGGGATTAAACTTCAACATGAGCTTTGGAGGGGACATCCAGACCAT